GCTTGGGATTGCCCCGACCCAGATGGGGCATACATCAAGTATTATAATGGTTAATCACTCTTAGTAGGTTTAATATTTAGTTACATGTAGTTCAGTGGCATGGTTTAGTACATGAGGAGGTTGTGACCTGTCCAAAACACACTCTCATGGCTGTGATAAGCACATGACTGCTGAGACTGCCCGCAGATGAACGTGGCTATATTATGGTGTTTACGAGGGCTGGCAAACTCACCAGGCGTATGAATGAGTTTATCATCTCCTGACCCTAATAACTTCAGTAGATCTTAAGAACTTATTCTAAATAGCTTGTTTCAGTTGTCTGCTCGATGCTTGTGTGAAATGCAGGCCCAGTAGCAGCGTAGGTGTGCTGGCAGAGCCTTTCCATGCGGTTGTGACACCACACACGCATTGTTTCTTTGGGTACAAGGAAACTGGTTTGCTGTTTTTAAACACGGGTTAGATACTAACCCTTAAATAGCCACCGTGCCCAAAAAAGGATGGGCCAGTAAAATACTATACATAGAAAAATTACTTCCTTTAAAACTTGCTCTGACTGTATCTTTCCATGTGGGGAGAAGAAAAATCTGAACTGCTTTAAGAACTGGTGTATTCACAATTTTTAGGCAGTGTTCTAACTTTAGAAGTATTTGTGCTTGGAGGCTATAATCAGTACTGATGGGGGGAGGTGTCTTGTCTTAAATATGCTTCTTGTAATAAAGTTGAGAGATGGTCTTTCATGCCCAAGCGTGGAAACTGGTTACATCCGTGTATTTTAAAGGTTAAACCTTTCCTTTGCAGGCGCACCTGTAGAGACCTCTCCAGAGGAGCAGCCAGCCTCCTGTGAAGGTAATGGGGTTTGTGTTCTGACAGCACACAACGTAGCTCCGTTAAACGTGACTTTGAAAAAAGTATGGCAAAGAATGTCCTTTTGAGAATCCCTATGACCCTTTGCCAACCTTTGTGCTCTTTATCCTCCTCCTACTGTTGTAAGGCAGTGTGGCTGCCTGCGCTTACTGGCAGCTTTATGGCCAGTCGAGCAAGGCATGTGGAGACCAAGCGGTTTGTTGAAGGTCATAAAGCTTGCGTGAAGATGAATTTTTCACACTAAACCTATATATTAAGTAGCGTTGGCAAGTGCCCAAACATCTGAACTATCCTTTTATTAATTTAGTTCCTCTGGTTTTCTTTGTTCTTGATACTACCGTGGTAAATGTTCTTAATGATACCTTTTTCTTTTTTTTTTCCCCTAGGTTCAAATGCTGCTGTTAACATGGAAATTTCAGAATCTGTTGGTATGATGAGGATTGTTCTATTTCACTATGATAGCACTGTAAAATACTCCTGTAGTGGCTTTGCTGAATCATTGCAAACAAAATTGGAGAGTACCTTATCGAGCCTTTGCGGTTTTGGTCCTTACAGATTTTCACTGTATCTTTATACTTGGTTTAGGAAAGAGGTAATTGAACACTGGTGTGCACTGACAGGTGCAGTTGGATTACCTGGACACTGAAAAGCATCAGTGCTTTATTAAAAATAATTTCATATTGCAAAATATGTGTGAAGTGGTGATTAACAAAAACTGGTTGTGATCAGTAAAATGAGCAATCAGAACACGGTAGTTGTCTTTCTCCTTGTATTTGTATGGCTTTGGGGGAAACATCATTACATCTCTCCCTTTCTTTTTAAACCAGCGTGATGGTCTGAGTGAATCTTCAGTGTTACTGTTTCCTTGTAAAATCCTTGCCTTGTTAAAACAGAAGTCTCTTAATCCTGGTGAATCATAGCTTTCTGATGTCAGCACACAAGCTAGTTTCAAAGCTCTCGGTAATTATCACTTCAGAAACAAGCAGCAGTTGCCCATTTTTATATAGGAAGACAGTAGCAGACTGGAGAGTTGAAGTCTTGTGATTGCTTTTTTGGGGCAGGGCCTTCTCTCCATAGTCATTGCTTCTGATGTCATTATCTATTTGAATATATCTGTTGAATTTTTCAGTGGAAAATGGAGAGACAGAAATGTCCCCGGAAGAGTCATGGGACCACAAAGAAGAAACAAGTGAATTGGAGCTGGGAGGTGGTCCCACAGGGGATGCAGGACCTTCTGAAGAAAGCACTCAGGAAATGATGGAAGAGGAGGAGGAAATACCAAAACCGAAATCTGTTGTAGCCCCGCCAGGTGCTCCTAAAAAAGAGCATGTAAATGTAGTATTCATTGGGCACGTAGGTAAGTTGTAAGTGAATGTGAAGTAATTGGATCTGGGTTGTGTATGATCTGGAACTTGGAGGATTAGACCTTAATCCTGCTCTTTGTAGCTGTACGTATTCCCCGTGGCTGAGGCTAACAGGAGCATTCATTTTAAGGAACCTGCTCTGGAAAACTTACAAAACCTAAAGAATGCCTTTCAGCCGTGGAGTGCCAAGGATGGAGTGCTCGTGTGCTCCTGGGCACAACAGTGTCTGTGTTCCTGGCTTCTCCATCACCTGCTCTATTAAGTGCTTAAGTGACATACCTGTGTGTGATCCAAAGAACAGAATGGGAAAGCAGTACTCCTTTTCAGCTTGTTTTAAATATTCTCGGAGGGTTCTTAATAGTTGTTACTAAATTCATAATTTGTTATTAAAAATATTAAAAGTTGTAGAGCTATAAAAAAGAAAATGAGCGTAATTCAAAGAAGCATTTGTCGCAACATTTCCCAACTGAATGGTTTTAACAAGCTTCAGAAAAATCCTATGTGGTGTCAAAAGTACAGAAGAATTATTGAATCCTGAGTTTTACGGTAAACTCTCTATTTCTCTCTGTGTACTCTCTTACCACCCTGACAGTACTGTAACTCGGGTGAATTCAGAGTGGAGTCACAGAGTGTAAAGAGGAAGTGGACAGAGGCACATCCCGATATTGAAGAGGCCTACAAAAGTTAGGGAGAAGGGAAGCAGGGAAGGGACTTTTGGAAGAGCTGCTCACACTCTTCACCCATGCTTTTTCTCGATCATTGCTGGTTGAGGGTTTTTTGTTATGGATAATACCAAGTTTATACGTATGAAACCAGAATTTTCAAAATGTAGTGTAATTGAATTGACAGTGAATTATTATGGAAAACAGGAATCTCAAAAACTTAGATTACAGTCAAAAATTGTATCTTTGAAAATAAATTGGATTACCTTCTTCATAATTGTTTTCTTTTTCTAGGATTTTTCATTTAAATTGTTAATGACTTGTTTTTGGGTTTTTTTTAGATGCTGGCAAGTCAACTATTGGAGGACAAATAATGTAAGGAAACTCAAAATTTTTGTATTTGCTGGGGTTTGTTGTGAATCAAAAATACATTAAGTACAATTAGTATTTTCTTTATGGCTTTAATCAGCATAGATTTAAATTTTTTTAAATATAATGTTACTCTCCCTGTCAATTTAGTTACTGTCTTTGGTATTTCTTAATTCCAGCAGATCTAATCTTATTGCTATTGGATTTACTTAATGGATACAACTGTGCGGAAATTTGTATTATTAAATTTGGAAAGATGAATCCCTTTCTTAGGACATGACTGTCATTTTCAAATGCTGTTTAAAACTGCTTTATACCCTTTGTTAATCCTCACAAAAAAATAAAATTTAAAAAACAAAAATTGAATATCCATATTCCCTGGTGTTGACAGTGTCAGGCATCATTTGATTTCGAAAGGTGAAAGTATAATAGTTCATCTTTTAAGTCTATTTCAGAAATAACACCTAGGGACTGCAATATTTTTGAGACAAAAGTAAATAAATGCAGCTCAATCTTTGTTTAAAAAAATGAAAATAAATGGAAAGTAGTACATGAAGAAATGAAGGCTGTCCTGCTGATGCAGAGTATTTCCATGCTTACTTTAAAATAATATTCCTGGCAAAAGCGGGAGGTCTTTGTCTTGGCATTTTCATCTTGTTTTGTTTTGGCCAAACTGGAATGCTGGAACTGTCACACTACATTACACCTCCGAGCTCAGACTAGAGCACGCTAGCAGTTTACGGTCTGATGTGCCTGAGCATTCCCCTTGTACAAGGGGATGCCTGCCCTTAACCCTGTCGATGGGACATGTTCCCGAAGCTTTTTGTGATCTTTTATTTTTGCAGAATATCCCTTTGTTGTAAGGGAGAAGCAAGAATTGGGCGCTTGTGCTAATTTTCTCGTTAACCCTTTATTTACTGTAATCATTAATTTTCCGTATAAACAAAGTAGTTTACTGTTGTTAGAAGATCAGGTAGAAACAGCTGAGGGAAAAATATGGAAGTTTTAACATAATAAAAGTGTACACACTGCCTTTCATAACTGAAATGCCGCTCTTAAAATTTGTTTCCTTGCTCTATCTAAAAAGAATTAAACAAAAAATACTTGTCTTTACCTTTCAGAAATGGGGGTGAGGTGAAAAGTTCTTGTATCACAACTTTTACTTAATTTTGAAATGCTGGATTATTCTCAGAAAGGGATGTAACAGATGGAGTTCTTTCAAAACTTGCCTCTGCAAAACATTTTACAGATAGGCTTTAAAAAAAGGCATTCATCATACTTCTGCTGAGGTGGTACTGCTGTACTTTAACATCTCAGATAATGGTGTGGCTTTTTGTGGAGAAAAAATCCCCGTGTCACTCGCATCAGGCTGTTCAGTTTTGTAAAATAATCTGTAGGGATTGTATAAGTATTGTAAGTATTTAGAACCATGTTTCTGCTTTTTTTCACCTCATCTTAGGTATTTGACGGGAATGGTTGACAAAAGGACACTTGAAAAATACGAAAGAGAAGCTAAAGAAAAGAACAGAGAAACATGGTATGAACTCTCTGAAGATGATAACATGCTTTTCTCTTTGCACTGTGCTGAAAAAGGGGGAAGTTTTGAGTCTCTGTAGCACTGGCTTCCTGCTGGAGTGGGTTTTGAGTCTGGGGAAATGAATCTCTTGATTCTGCTTTAACTAAAACCATACAAAACAGTGCTGCTCACGTTGGAGCAGGTTTTGCTGCTGCGGTGCTTTGGTGAACATGGTTGGTGAAGAGGAGCACAAGGCAGACGCCTTCCTCGGGCAGCTCTTGGGGCCGTTCTGTCTCTGTCCTTCACCTTGAACAGCAGAGAGCTGTCGAAGGAGCAGAGGTGAAAGCCGTCACTTTGGCCAGAAGGCGAGCGAGCGAATCATTCTGGCTGCCCCCTTGTATCTTGTTTCTCTGTGACTTAGCAGTCTCACGGTGTCTGCAGTTCTGGAGTTTCCTCCAGGCACAACAGTGCTGCTGTCGTGGATTGGTTTTGCGGGCCTCTGGTTTGGATTGGGTTTTGTTGTTGTCTTTTGGTTGGGTTTTGGTTTTGTGTATGAACAGCACATGTAGCAGCCTGCTTTCTCCTTTAAACAACTCCTGCAGAATGGATTTTCCTATCGGAAGCTTTGAGTTTTTGGTGGCAGTGGAGGAAAATAGGGTTCAAAGAGCTCTGGGAAAGAAGACTTCCTTAGGGAAAGTCTTCCTTAGCAGTGATGGAGGACTCAAGGAGTGGGCATTGACCTGAACTAATTGTACCTTGTGTGAGCAAGGGGGATGGAAAGGGTGATACAAGTTCTTTTTATCAAGCGAGCATCATCCAGCTGTTGGGAGTTGGCCATAGTAATGACTATTTAAGACCTTCCTCAAAAACCCTGCTATAAAAACAGATTTCTTCTTGCTCCTCCTCTTTTTGAGAGCAAGTTGCAGGAAGTGCCTCCTTGAATGCTATTTTTATTCTTCAAAATATGTCATAAAATCATAGAGTGGTTTGGGTTGGAAGGGACCTTAAAGACCATCCAGTTCCAACCCCCCTGCCATGGGCAGCAACACCTTCCACTAGAGGAAGGTCGTGATACACAACCGTGTGGTGTACTCTGTGCCATTACCAAATATCCTGTTAGCTTGCTTCGTATGTTTAAAGTCTTTAAATTTGAGCAGTTTTACTTGGATTCAGAAATTTCTGTACTGCGGTGCGGAGTTGACGTTTCAGTCAGAAATGCATCTTCCCCCAAAAACGTGATGCACGGAAAGGACTTCCCATCCAGCTGCCAGGCCTAAGCTCCTCCTTGACTCTTGTTAGCAGAGTAAATCTTGCCCTTTGGCTTGGCTGAAACCTCCAGAAACATAGGCCGTGGTGAAGGTACAGCACAGAGGAGCACACACGCTGGTACAGCCCAAAAGCCATCCGGCCTGCTATCTAGACCTCAGTCAGTGACAAACAGCTGCTGCCTGGGGAAGGCTGGGATTGCATATCCACGATTCCCGGTGTTTAGTGTTTTCCCTGCCTCGGGAACCTCTTGAGCTGGAAAGGACAGCTTTGTGTTTAGTCCCTGGCCACTGGTCAGCTGAGTTAGCAGTGTCTCTTCAGACATTATCCAGTGTGTGTATATATATATATATATATAAACAGCTCACTCTGTGTACACAAAACGTTCAATAAAAGTCACTATTGGTCTTGAAAATGCTGAAGTTCAGTTGTGCTGAGATGGTCAGGATAGTTAAGCAGAAAGAAGGCATTTTATGATGAAAAAGCCATCCTACATAAGTTTAGTAAAAGTTAATACAAAAATAGAATGTTTGTGTTGGGTTTTTTTAGGTACCTTTCGTGGGCCTTAGACACAAACCAAGAAGAACGAGACAAAGGTAAAACAGTAGAAGTGGGTCGTGCCTATTTTGAAACTGAGAAGAAGCACTTCACTATTCTAGATGCTCCTGGACATAAGAGCTTTGTTCCAAATATGATTGGTGGGGCTTCTCAAGCTGATCTTGCTGTGCTGGTAAGGAGGAATCAGAATTTTTTATTTTGCACATACAGTGGAATTAAGCTTTGGGGTTTTATTTCTCTGCGTGTTTGCTGTCTTGGTTAGTTACAGTGGGCAAAATTTACAGATGCTGCGTCTGCCGTCGTGAGGGGTTTTGGGATAAGTGAACAGCTTCAGAAAATTGTCCACAAATGTGGGGGTTTATATATGTTAGTGCAGACACTAGTGGGTAATATTGAGGGCGTTCCAGTGCATTTTGAAAGCTTTTACCAGTGTTGACTGCCCAAAGTTGTTATTTAATAAGGCAGTGTTATTCGTTGTTGGTTGCTCTGATGAGAGAGCTGTAACACCTTTATTAAAATGTGTGTTTTTCATTAGGTTATTTCTGCCAGAAAAGGAGAGTTTGAAACTGGATTTGAGAAAGGTGGACAAACAAGAGAACACGCCATGTTAGCAAAAACGGCGGGTGTAAAACATTTAATAGTTCTTATTAATAAAATGGATGACCCAACTGTAAACTGGAGTAATGAAAGGTGAGTTTAGTCTTAAAATCTTCATTAAAAGATACTGAAATACAGTATTTCCGGTGTAGTTTTTTGCATCCCACTTGCTGAAGGAGTGGTAGGCTGGTGGACACAAGGTTATCAAGATTGGTTATCACAGCTGCAGGAAGTGCAGGGGTGCGGTGCCTAGCACAGGGACTCTCGCCTGAGCTTGGAGTTCTCCTCTCCTTTACAGCATTCCCTTCCAGCGGTTTGTGTCCATGCGGCCATGTCTGACAAACCCATGGATTCTACCATAGCTCACGTGGAAGCTTTAAATGAACCTGAAAGGAAGCAGCTCTGCTTTCAGTAGTTTGCCAGATTCTTGGTTGCTTGAACGTGTGGTCGGTGAACTCCTAGCGCAGCTTTGGCGAGAACAGCATTAGCCTGCTTTTGTGTCCACCTCCGTTATTTGGAGTTGTGCTTCCATGACAAGCTGACTTGGACGAGCAAATAATACGCTCAAGTGGTTCGTGATCACAGTCTGAGAAACGGGGAGGAAGGGAATCTTGTAGTGATACAGGCCAGATAAAATAACTCTCTGTCAGTCTGTGGTACCTGAATAACTCATAAAAATGATCAAGTTGTTGTTTCCTGCCCTAATGCGCAAATGGTACCGAAGAGTTTTAATCTTCCTAAGTGTCACACCTTGGGTCTTTCTGTGGCTTCTGTCACATCTTTCTTCACACCCCTTTAGGCTGGACGCTAAGAAGTGTAACTGAGTCCTTCCCTGGGGAAGGATGCTGGCAGGACAGTGTTCTACAGGGTAACAGGAGGAGTGGTCAGAGAGCGTGCTGTGCTGTTAACAGTCGTGACGGTGTCTAGCCTGGCTTGCTAAGAGGAAGGCATGGCCAAGTGTGCTGTCTTGGTCCTGCCCCACCTCCTGACCTTACTTCAGCTCGGACTGACTGAGAGGAAGAAGCAAATAGACAGCACTGAGTCTTGGAAAATGGTGTAGGAGGCTGGAGGAGAGTAAGCTGACCCTGCAGCATGACCTGAGCGGCTGTCTGCTTGGTGTCTCCTGCGCTCCCGGCCTGGGTCTCGTGCTTAGAAGCAGAGGGAGCACGTGCTGCCACCTACCCAGCCCAGTAATTGTGGGTATGGAGGACACTGATGGCACCTCATGGAGCAGAGGAATGAGGAGGAATAGGCCATACCAAGGTGTGCTGGCAGACTGGGGAGAAGATGCAAATAGGCCGCTAAGCTTTATTAGGTTTGCTTGCTGCTCACAAAATAACTGATGAAAATTAAGTATCTGTGGGGTTTGTTGCCTTTTTTTTAAAAGCACAATATTGTGTCCTGCTGGAATAATCAAAACTTCTCTTGATTTGCTTGTCATTTTAATAGATATGAGGAATGTAAAGAGAAACTGGTGCCATTTTTGAAGAAAGTTGGCTTCAATCCCAAAAAGGATATTCATTTCATGCCCTGCTCAGGACTGACTGGAGCAAACCTTAAAGAACAGTCAGAATTCTGTCCTTGGTATATGTAGGTATCTTAAATTGAGCAATTTGGATATTTGCTATATTTCAATAAAAGTAGATGCTGCAGTGAAGCTAGGAAGAGGGATAGCGTGGTATATTGTAGCTGTGTTCTGAAGTGCCTGAGGAGACATGGTCCGGGCAACAAGAACACAGCCATGCAGTGGGCCAGACAGAAGCATTTGCTAACGGCAGAAGAGTGAAGTTGGCAGAGTCTGTAGTAGCACTGGCAGCATTCTCTGGCTTTGTGAGTTTGAGTGCCATACTACCTTGAATTTTCAGTGATACAGCCGCTGACATGCTGCTAGAACTAATAATTGTTTGATGTGAACAGTTTGCTCGAGGCTGTATTACGATCAGCGACAAGCCATGTCTCTTACTGGATGTCATGTCTCCCAGCACTCTTCACAGCAGTTAAAACACATTAATGGAAATCATGTTAGGCCCGAACTTACTTAATGTTTTGTAATTCCAAAACATTGCACATCTGGCAAGATTCTCAAAGGAATCATTATTCTGTGTAAAATATGCCTGTAATGTAACTTAAAAACCACGTGCACCTCCTGGGCAGGAACATGTTAGCTGGGGAAAGTGGACGCTAATGGTGGGATGTTATGACAGATTTACTAGTCTTAGAGGTCAAAGATGACAGAATGAAACTCATTCTTTTTGTTGGACCGCATTTATCTATTCTGAGTACTTTTTAAATAGAAGGGTGCTCCTGGAATTGAAACAAATGCCTTCTGCTCTTTTAGTGGATTACCGTTTATTCCATACCTGGATAACTTGCCAAACTTCAACCGTTCAGTGGATGGACCCATCAGGCTGCCAATTGTGGATAAATATAAGGTACAAACTATAATAATAAGACTGAAAGTATGAACGGGCTGTTGTCAGAAAGCAGTGAACGGGCTGTTTACTCTATTTTTAGAGGGTAGCTTTTTTTCTGTGATATGTCTACACTGCCAGCTGTGGGATAGAGGTGGGGAGGGAAAATAAGTAATTTTGGCATTACATGAGACTTTTAATTAATCTATAATATTTCATGAGAACAGTTTCTGAAACATTTAGTATAGCAGCCCTCAATAAATTCATAGAGGGCTAAGTAATCAGAGTTAGAGTTAAAAGTATTTTTCTGAAGAGTCTGCTCTATTTATGATTTAATTTTTATGTAAAAATTTATTTTTGTGAAGGATATGGGCACTGTGGTCCTTGGGAAGCTGGAGTCGGGCTCTATTTGCAAAGGACAACAGCTTGTGATGATGCCAAACAAGGTATGGTAAGGTTTAGATATTTAAAAATGATGCTACCCTAGAAAAGAGCTTGATTCTTAAAGATATTCATTAAAAGAAATCAGAAAATTTGCTATTGCTCAGTTCAGCACAACTGAGCTTCCATGTTTTACATGGAAACATGGTGTCCAGGTGTTCCCAGTGTTCAAAACTCGGGTGTCTCTCCTTAGTAAACTCAGTTGCTGGGCTACAGTCACCACAGTCAACTGGAACCGTGGTTTACTTTCCATTTGGACCATTGGCCCACGAAGCCTTTTTTCTACTGTGAGTTAATACTGCTCAAAACTTCCAGTCTTTTCTCCTTTTCTTTTTCTTTTCCCTTCCCAAAGGGACATAGTAAAAAATGTGAAGGATGCAGATAGGACACAGTGGGTTGCCATGAAAGACCTGAAGGTTGCTTTGGTTAGGAATAGGTTTTCGGGGGGGGGCAGGTCGCTGATCCACAATGTAGGATTGGAATCGCTGCGCTGCTCTGAAAAACGTGAAAATGCAGGGATGAAGGGTGTGGAAAGAGCTGGGAGCGGCAGTGGATGAGAACAGGGAACCCAGCCAGTGGTGGTGGTTGTTCCCACTGGTTCCTTACAAAATGGGTTTGGATGCTTTGTTCTTACTTATCCATGTCATCGTGACTGAAGCCAACACGCCTTTTCCAGTGCTGGGGGCTGCTGGGGTTTGCTGGAAAGTGCCTCAGTACTCAGAGGTACAGTAAATCTACAGCTTACTGAATGCTGGTATTCCCTCATCAAGATCTGCTAATTAGGTTGACTTTCATGTTGCCTTTCTCAAGAGTTGCTCAAAGTTGAAACTAAGACAGTTTGAGATTGTGCTTTTCAGTGTTTAAGGTAATTTAAAAACTTATTTTTAAAGGCAGTGGCTTTTTATAAAGCAGCTGACCTGTGCCTGACACCCCTGTTACTCTGGCCTTGCCTGGGAGAAAGGAATGAGTGGCAAACGGCTGAAACTGAACCGTTTCAGAACTTATGATCAGTAAGCAGCCGGTGCTTTCAATGACACACTGTTGTTGTTTATTACTCTGGCAGCTAATGAGGATTGAAATAAGGCTTCAGGAATTTGGAACGATAGATCCCTTTCTGAGGCCGCTCCTTTAGCGGCTCGGCCTTTCCCGCATTTATTTTGTGTTGGTATCCAGCACTGTGTGAAGGTGCAAAAATCAGAAGAGAGGTTACAGCAGACAGCAACATGAGGAAATGCGTTTTGGTGTTGCTTAGAGAGCGTTCATCCATAGACATCCGGTATCTTTATCATCTTCCCCAGGAAATCTTACAGAATTGGGGAGTCCAGGATTTCCTGGGTTGCATTAATATTCAGACTGCTGTATTCTTAATTTAACAGTCTACAACAGCATCGCTTTCACATTCTTCTGGGGTCATGATGCACCTGTTGTATCTCTCATCTCTAAGTTTTAAACTCATTTCACTTTGAGACACAGTGGATATTTTTGAAATTGCTTTTCCATTGAATATATACTGCAGCATTATATTAAAATACATTTGATAAATACGACATTTTAAATATTAGTAACTGTAATGTCATGAAGCTTGCAGAACCGAATATAAGGAATTTAAATGGTAATGTAATTATCTATTGAAATCCTGCTGTATTAAAATCATTTTGTTTTAGACTGAAATATACTCAACAGAAAACTGCATTTCTGCTTTCTTTAAGCACAACGTGGAAGTTCTTGGAATCCTTTCTGACGATGTAGAGACTGACTCAGTAGCGCCAGGTGAAAATCTAAAGATCAGACTGAAGGGAATTGAAGAGGAAGAGATCCTTCCAGGATTTATTCTCTGTGATCCCAACAACCTGTGTCATTCTGGACGCACGTTTGATGCCCAGGTGGAATAACTCGCATTTAGTTGCTGCGTAGATGAGTGAAAAGCATTAAAATATTTTGCTTATGTTTCACCAAATCTGAACTTCAGAAATTTGAGGTTTCAGTTCAGTTTTCTTTTCACTGTCACGTCTCTAAATTGACAACAACATTAATCCCGAACACTGACATGATGCATTTGAGTTTTTAAAAATGTCATGTGTGTAACTTCTCAGCAAAGCTTTAGATACCAAAGCGAGATCTTGTCAGGCCAATTCTTCAAGCTTATACTTTGATGTTCTAAACAACATATTAATTTATAAATCTTGTTTCTTTCACAAAAAAAACATCTTGTGTGTATTGTTCAACTGTGCGTTTTAATGTAGTTCTGTATTTGGTTATTCCCCGCTCTTTTAGAACTGCAATGAGGAAAAATGCTCTTATCTTTAATTGTTTTACAGATAGTGATAATTGAGCACAAATCCATTATCTGCCCAGGTTACAATGCTGTGCTGCACATCCACACCTGTATCGAAGAAGTTGAGATAACAGTAAGTGTTCGTTTACCCCGAGCTGTGAACATATGCGACGAGAGTCCTGTCGCGACACGCATCTGTATGGCAACTAATGCGTCAGGGCTCCAGCCTTGAATGGAGTCATTGGTCAGCGCCCTGTAGCGACCAGAACTGGCTGTACCTGTTAGCGTAAGCCTTCTGAAAAGGGGGGTGGGTTATGATTGACACTCGTGCGTCGTAGATCTGGGGGTTTTTCCTGAGTACGTTGATTCTTAGACCACTTCAGTTTTGTTCCTGAATCAAAAATAACCCTTATATCAGCACTCACAGCTGAATTCTTGTATTCTTGTATTCTTACGCAGGCCTTAATCTGCTTGGTAGACAAAAAAACAGGAGAAAAAAGTAAGACACGGCCCCGTTTTGTGAAGCAAGATCAAGTGTGCATCGCCCGCCTAAGGACGGCAGGAACCATCTGCCTTGAGACCTTCAAAGACTTCCCTCAGATGGGCCGCTTTACCTTAAGGGATGAGGGTAAGCCTGCCCCATCGGCAGTCAGTCCTGCGGCAACCCCGTTATTTGGGGCGGTTCGTGCAGGGCAACGAGGTGCCGAAGTGCTGGTGCCTGGTGGAAATCACTGTCTGGGCTACAGTGGAAAAGTAAATCAAAGGAAACTGTCATTGGGCAGAGGTCTTGCTAGTCACAGTGGTGTTATTTCAGAGGAATAACCTACAGAAGCGTGCGCTGTGAAACAAAAGGTTAAATGGGGGAAATGGCCAGCCCCCTCTTCTTACGCATCCTTGCAGCACATTAAGGTGAACGCTCTCGCCTCTCTGTTTAAAGTGGGAGCAGGTAAGGGCTGTACGTCAGGCTTTAACTCACGTTCACCCTGGTAGGCCCACGGGACGTGTTGGAAGTAAGTTATCTTTAGAGGCAGCACACAGATCTGGTAGAACGATTCCACCGCCTCCTTCGACGACGCTGGAGCAGGCTCTCCACAATCCCCACTGTACGCTCTCCTGCGGGAACAGCGCTTCTGCTGGTGTGAGACGTTACTGGGCTGTTAAAACGCCCTGGTGCTCTTACTCTGCAGCACACTGAGTCGCTCCAGTGAGCCTGTGTTTCTGAGGCGAGTTCCCGTGTTCCTGCAGACCGGCGCGTTCTCCTCGCAACGCCCCTAACTGCTGTTTGTCTCCTTGCTTTAGGTAAGACGATTGCGATTGGGAAAGTTCTGAAACTGGTTCCGGAGAAGGACTAAGCGTTTTTCTCAGTGACCCCCGCACAATACTGTGAGGAGAAATCGACTCTGCGAAGCCTACTTCACACCGCCTTCTTATTTTCTGCCCATTGATAAACTTCTCCCCATATTTTGCAAAGACAAATTTCACAGCAAAGGTCCACATTATGTCAGCTTTCTCATATTGAGAGCTCTGCTATGCCACTGTTGAATTTTCCCAAAAAGAAGGGTTTTTTTCTCCCAAATTCTGCTTCCTTGGAACAATTCGGCAATAGCTTTGTAAGTGATGTGGACATAATTGCCTATAATTATGAAAACCTAAAGGATTTTTAATGTTTCGTTTTCCCCGGCATATATATTAAGACCTCTTTTTTTTCCAGGCAGATCATTCAGAGTGTGCGAGTGTGTGTGCACATGTTACAGAGACAACTACCATGTTAATAAACTATTCAATTTGAAAACTTTTTCGGTATTGGAATTGCTTTTGAATAACGTTTTTTATCCGGATGTAACGCAGCCGCATGAGCTTTTTAACTTCCTGGTAACCTACGTGTTCGGTTACTTGGGCTTTTCTAAACTCCTCAGCCTGCCCACACACACCGTGTGAAACGAGGCAGTAGGGCGCTCAGCCCGCTCTGTACGGCAGTGATTAGGTTTGCCCCTTCCCCGCGGTGAACGCGTTCTTGAAAATCGAAAAGAATCACGCCAACGCAGCGCCTTTTAGCAGCTTTGCGTTTGTTCGTATCCTCAGCAGATTGAGGTTGATTCAACGTCCTTGCTGGAGACAGGACGTCCCTTTTGAAGGCTGGAACTACGTCTTGTGTCCTAATAAAAATTCAGCGTTACTGAAATCTTAACTGCAGAAAGTGCTAATAACCAGTAAATCAGTGAAACTTGCAAAACTAAGACTTTGCGGCAGTAGTGCCTGCTAGCGTTCCTATGAGCTGCGTTTTGTGGGAGAAGTGGGCTGGTGAAAAAGCGCCAGTTACGCGTCGCTCGGCTCGCCCTGTCGTTAATGTAGAGGGCTGGGCGATCCCCACTGGTGCACAGATCAGTCGGAGCTGAGAAAAGACTGTAAATCCCTAAGAGTTTGCACATCCTGAAATACGGGAGGGCCCGAGTCAGGCAGAGTCTGTCAGGTGTTGCTGTCGGAGAGCAGCGGGAGCTTCTGAGGAGCAGTGAAGGCGTTCCTGAGACACCGCGGTGGAACTGGTTCGCGCTAAAGCTCGCTCAGTGCCACCTGACGGAGCCGCGTAACACAACCCTCCTCAGCTGCACTTGGGAAATGGGCCGCCTGCAGTTGCTATCCTGATTCTAACCGTGAGGATGAAGGCCTACCGAGATTTTTTTTCTTTTCCCCCCCCAGATTATTAGGAGTAACTATTAAAAGGTACCTTCACGGCTTCTTCAGAATGTCTTAAACTGAACATTTTCAGTTGTAGAGTTGTGGCGAGCCCATCTCCTCCCCCAAAAGTTTACAGTCCAGTGACTGTTGGAATTCACAGATAACTCAAAACTGCAACAGATTTACCTTTTTTGGGTTTTTTTGGGGTTTTGTTTGTTTCTTTGTAACTGTGGAACTCCCATTCATTTCACTTACAGCTACATTGTATGGACAGAAGAAGTTATTGTCCTTCAGTTTCATATGACCACACTTGTAGCTACCGTAATGCATGGAATTGAAATAAATTTTATGATGTCTGCAAATCTCTGAGCTTTTATTTTTTTGGTAAATTAGAGTTTAAAGTAAGTGTTTGGGTTTTTTTTCCCTACCAAGTGAACAAAGCTCACAGTTCCTTGGATGTTAAAATAATGAATAACTTCAAAGCCAAGGAAATTGTCTTGTTCATGGTCTGGATTGATCCAAGATGTCCCCGTGCCTGCTTGCTTGAAGTGAGCTCATGGATTTGAAATTCGCAAAGACCATTGTTGGAGAATGCTTCCTTAGACTCCGAAATTGTGAAAACTTGGGTTTAAAGCATAGAAATGCGTGTTGAGACTATGTGATGCTCCAGTAGAATTTTACCACTTTCGAGCAAACTTAATGAGGGACTCTACAACCTCACTGAGGCTGGACTGAGTATGTGTTAAACTGAGGAGCCGTCTGGTGGGTTGAAATACCGGGAGATGGGAAGTCTTGGTGTTTCCATCACTCATCCCATCTGGTGAATTTGATTACCGTTTCCCTAAACCCAGTTAAGGTCACCTTGGCTGCAGAGGGAGGCGAAATTATTTAAAGCTCGTTAACCGAATCTACGTTACACAACTAAAGACACAGCCCACCTCTAAGAGGTTTTTATTTGGGTCTAAAATACTTGGGTTCTGTAGCAAACATACCGACGTGAAAATGGAAGGTGTAAAGCTACTCAGATTGTGTGCGTTTTGGGCAGAAGAGCCGAGCGTGTATTGTATTTGAACAGTCCTCCACGGACGTCTCGACGTTTTCATTCACTCTCTGTTTCATAATTCCATTTTTACCACCGTTGAGTACAGTTCCATCTAGATGAAAGAAGAAGAAACAGTGTGGCTTTGTTTGGAATAAACACTATTTGCTGATTCACTGACGTAATAAACTTTTTTAAACGACCATGAATACTTCCTTTTCTGGCAACGCGGTGTGCTGCTTTGAAGGTGAAAAAGTCAAGGAGCTGTGCAACCCCAGGAGTTGAAAGGAAGGAGGGAGAGAAGGAGGAAACGCAAGTTGGATCAGCGCTTCAAGGAGCCCTAGGAGCGCTGCCAGTGTAACTGCTGCCTGTGATCCTGGCAGGGACGTAACTCCTGCCGGCAAAATGGCGTGTTTCTGCAGGAAGGAGGGATCGGAGGGGGATCCGTGTGTCCCCCACCTGGTATAACGGCATTTACAGCAGCCTGCGCATGCACTGTGGTACCGATGAGGGTCGCATTGTCCTCCCCGACTGCCGACCAAAGTGTGAGTATGGCTTAAGTAGATAGCCACGACGAAACTTAAAAGTCTATAAATTAAGACCTTGTTATGTCCTTGAACTGGAAGTCTTGGTGTGTGTAACAATGGTTGGATGTAACAAACCCAAAGCAGTCGGAATGTGCAGCAGTACTGATGGTTTTACAGCAGGAGAATAACAACGTTTGTGCAAGTTAGGAGCAGCAAAGCAGGGTCAGGGAGGAGTGGGCACACCGGGCAGCTGACTGGCGTTGCCGTCGGCCACCCACCACGCCAGCTGCCTCGGTCGCTGGCGCAGCCAGCCGGGGGCCGGTACGCTAACGCCGTGGCACCAGTTCCCCGAGATGCATGCCAAGCGATGGGTGATGGGGTGATAGTGCTGGAAGAAAAACGGCTGCTTCAAGGGGGTTCGTCCATGGAGATATTTGCTGCTGGGCGTGGATTTTGTGCCACTCTACAGGGGTTTCTTCAGTGGGGTAAAAAGCCCAGCAGGGATTGCGCAGTGAAGAGCCTCTGGTTTAGACTACTCACAGCACCAGTTCATATATTAAGAACTATGTTAATTATGAGAAATGTGTTTTTGTAAGTGTTTATTACTGTATGTTACCTAAGAAAAAAAAGACTTGTTTCAATGTCCCTAGTACTCGATTCTCTGTTACTCTGGCTTTTTGGTTCTCAATGCAAACTGTTTGACGCTGTTGAAGCAGATGAAATGTGCTCCAGATGATGCCCTTTTCTTCCTGAACTGATAGTTAAAGGCTCTGGTTTTGTACACCCTACAGAGGATTTGGTAAACAAAAATACACCAACAAAACCAGAGTTACTACTGCAGATTTTATATTGTGAGTCTCTTTCTTTCTTTGTGTTTAACCTACTATAAACCTGCCAAAATACTTCTTTTCCGCTAAAGAAATCCTACAAAGGAGTCTCTATCTTAACATAAAATGGAAATTTATGCTAACAAATCCAAAATCGATTGTGTCTGTCTATAACTTTTACTAATACATATCCCTCCATCGGCTTTCCTTCCAGAAAGTTTCTGCGTCTCCCCTCAGGTACATGCACCTAAGAGAAGTCCACGTGTTTCTGCGTAAGGGTAGTAAGAACGATGACAGACAACTGGGATGAAAAAAAGGGCACTTGAGGCTGTGTTCCTGTCACGTGCTGAGCCTGTAGAACTGATGATCAGCAAGAAAACTAACAAGAAAAGAGCAGCTTGTGTCAGAAAGACAGGTGCCTCCGTTCTTCAGAGGAAGTGGGTTTTGGATAACCTGCCCAGCAAGCAGCCCTCTCTGGCAGTTCATTAGGCTACAGCCAGAGACTTGCACTAGGACTGCGAAGGAGCACGGGCTAAAGAAAAGGAGTGCTTGAACACCAGGTCTCACAGGGAGATTCTCTTCTGAGATCAGTTTTGTGAGGGATTTCTGCCTCCTGCTTTTATTTCTGCATATTCTTTGTGCTACTTTTGTTCCAAGGAGTACGCATACAGGAGCCTGGGATTTTGACGTCTGCCACCAAATAATCTGGAGGAACACAAGCCTGGTGCTGCAGCTTCTGGGATGCACACTAAGGGAATAACCTTAAACCTCAAAGACCTGTTTCCAGCAGAAAAAATTGTTCCTTGTACATCCCTTTTGCTAGGAGAAAGTGTAAAATTAGGGATGTAAAGAAACATCCTCTTAAATAAGCAGTGAGGTAGAATGGCTTGAAATGATGTCATTTTAAGTCTTGGCACTTGCTTAGGTGTGACAACTGGCTTGAGGAAGAACACACGCTTTCCTAACCAGACGAGGTTACACTGAGGGCTGCGGCAGAGTACGTTTAGCGTACAGCAGTAACACGGATAAAATAACCAACCTCATTTCCCGTGTGAGAACAGTCGTTTGTGAACTTGCTAAATGAAAAGCACACTCTATATTCACTGCACGCTGCATTGAGCTGAAACATTTTTATCCAGAGATTAGTCTACTTTTCCAAGGCAGCTCTATTAGCTATGTCAAGCACCTTCCAGGAGTCAGTTAAACCACTTCTAGTAGAATCCAGTCGTGTCACACTTAAACTGTTGCGAAAAAAAACGTACTTGGATGAGACTGCTATGTGACAAATCTGCATTTGTGTCACTAGTAACAGTCCCTTTAGTTGTATCCTGTCAGTGCTCTGCTGACCCACTACAGTCAGGCTTCAGACAGGCTGCTCAGTCCTGTCTTACAAGACTCGCCTGGCTTATTTTCAGAGATGTCCCAGACACCTGGCTTTTGTTGTTTTAACATCTCACAATAACATGTTGATGCTTGATTAAAACCTGGCTGCTCTCAAACAGGCAAAGCCTCTGCAGAGGTAGGAGCGAGGCTAATACAGTTACCAGGTTACAGACCGCCGCAGCTAGTATCGTACGCGTGAGCTCTACCAGTGGTGAAAAGATTTTAAGGCGTCTGCCCTATTCGGCTACTTTGCACATTCCTAGCCTTCCAGTAACTCCTCTAATCAGTACTTCATTGGACCACATGGCCACAAGGGATAGCTTTTCTTTTTCTTAGCCAGTT